ACAAGTGCCTTACTAGTAGTAACAAGTGCCTTACTAGTAGTAACAAGAAGCTACTAGGAACAAGTGCATCGCTTCTAGTAACAAGTGAACGCCGGACCGGTCCGGCAACCCGCACCTGGTCTCGGGATCAAGCTGAATGGAGCGCGTGCCCAGCAGGTAGCAATCGGAAGTACCTATCAGAGGTGCCGCATGGTGCGCGAAGCCAATCACTTTGTTGACCCCTGAGATTCCCACCTGATGATACCTGATGGCTGCCCTTGGAAACCCTGAGAAAGAACCACGAAACTTCACACAGATTTTGGTAACCATCAAGCTGTAAAAGGTCTGGCTGGTCTTGTCGTGTCAAATGGATGCTGTCATTACGCCAGTGTGACCATTGTGTCACCTGAACTGGGCCTGGAAGAACACCACTCAAGCTGTCCCATCACAAACAGGGTTGGCCAATCGGCCAATCCCGTTTCAACGGCACCTCAGACGACCTCAGATGTGGATGCATGTATGTTCCAAGCCAGTTTGGCGCTTTTCGCGTCTTTTCACCCAAACTACGCCAGGCACCCTTCAGCCTCAAATGGTCCTCTGCTGTATTCGTGGATGCCAGCTGGGTAATTTGGGTGCAGGATTATTTCTATAGCATCACAAGCTGCCAACGCCCAAGAGAACCGCTCCTCACCTCCGCAAGGCTGCAGAGATCTGCTAAAGTTCAAGAACCTGAGCTACTTTGTGTCCGAAGCCGAAACCGAAACTGACTTGATCGGATTTCAGCAAACATTAACGTTCCCATCAAATGTTCTGAAGAAAGAAGCTCTTTCTGACCTCCTCAGTTCAACTGGAAAAAAAAGATTAACCTTGTTCCACCTGTTCTTGTTTATAGAGGGAAAAACATATCCCCAAAGAAAGATCCAAAAAGGTTTAAAACGGCTAAAGGTTATCCACTGACCGGCTAGAATGTTCAACTCCGATCCGGAAACATCCAGACCAAAATCCGCACGATCCGCCGGCAATCCCGTCTCACAATCCGCCTGCTTGAAAGCAGCTCTGGAGCGTTCCAGGATCCAAACCTTGGAGGAGTCAAAATCCATTAGTTCTTTCCTAGTCACAGGCAAAACCAAAGCTGAGTTACTTTCGAGATGTCTTGCAGGTTCGATCTTTGAACACAATTCAACCAGTATGCATCAGTGTGCACTGCACGAGCACAACAGCAAGATTCAAGAACCACTTGGCCAAATCCACCGTGCCATTGATTCGATCTGCATGTGGCAGGAGAGGTTATCTATCTGACTTGTTCCTCTACAGTAAGGCATAAGGAACAAGGCTTGCCCAACCAACGAAGTGCTGGAAAAAGCAGAACCCACTCTAAGCAGCACGACTCTTTCAAAAGCATCTGAGCAGCGCTGTCGACGAGGGCCTCGGCCAAGTGCGGACGTGTTCACAGGTGTTAACGGCTTGTTCCAGAACATTTTAGTTGCTGCACTGGGAAAGAACTTTATATACTCAGAACCAGAAAGCACACGCAGCTTGGCGAACTGATCTCGTCCAGCACTGTGTCATGGTCGTTAGCCCTGCTCTCCCCTTTACCTAGTGGTCAAAGGCGTGCCTCTCGTGGACAGTCGACAGTGTTCTGCAAAGTAGCACAGGCGGCCTGCGGCCGTAGCACTGATCTGATCGTACCCCCCCCAAGGAGATGCGCTGACAACGCTGATCCTCCTTGGCACCTTGAAATCAGGCTTTCCACATCTGAAACATGGACGACTTAAACTTAAGTTTACTTGATCTTCCTTGCACGGCAAAAAAATGCACAAACTTCAATCAGCGTACCTTAGACGTCAAGTCCAGGTTCAATGTTGTTGGCTCATACTGTAACTATATACATGTATTTTCTACAGCCCATTGTCTGGTAGAAATTCAACCTTGGCTGCCCTCTTGCCAAAGATCTTGTGGTCCCGCAAATGAATCAAGGAATCAAACAGTGATTAGCCAATCGCTGACAAACCAAACTCAATGAATGACCGGCAGTTGGTCCGGTTCACATCTTCGTCCAAAACACCCTTGCGGCCCACATCGGCCCACGTCCGACGGCAGCTCTTGCCTGAGCATCCGTCAGGACCCGCCCGACTTGCTCTGAGAAGGGCGAGGCCTCGACGTGTTCACAGGACGAACAACACGTAGTGTGGATCAGTGGTTCAACAGGCTGAAAGGTGGTGAACATCTGAGGAGGTTCGGCGAACGTTGGGCGCACCCACATGCGCCCACCAAAACCTGGCCCATTGGACCGCACCCACCAAAGCTCTGTCGAAAAGCTGAAAGAGTCTCTGAAAGTTGTCCTGTTCACTGTTGATTAGTCAACCCCCGCAGAATGGATTGTCTTTGACGCTCCAGGTAGTTGCAAGGAGGTTGGATCCTCTATCTGATGTCATTCATCAACACTCAACAAAAAAAATATGCAAAATCTCTGGCATCAACACCCATCTGCCTGGACGATGAGGAAGAAATTGCCCAAGCTCCTCGATCGAAAACGCTGCACTTCGGACTGACTTCGGCAGAGAAAACGCTTCAAAAAGGACCGGTCGGTCAGGGAGGTGCGTTTTCCGGAAATGGCGGCCTCAGTAAAATGGCACTTGAACTTTGGCCCGCAGAATGGCGGAAGATCTGCTCAGGCGTCCTTAAAACTGTCCAGAACAATGCAAAGGATGACAACCTCTACAGTGAAAGGACCTCCTCAACAAGCTTTTTAGGATTAATTTATCAAAGGATGGTTTTCACATGCGTTGCAGCAATCACAAAACTGCAATTAATTGAACAATTGCATTAT